CCCCACCACCATCAAATCATTCCTTTTCAATGTAAAAGAACTTTTGAAAGGATGAGCAAGGTACTAAACAAGATTAAAAATTAAAGCTAAGCGATAATTTCAGGATCTGGAGAAGACAATTTTCAGTATCAGCATTTCTTTTCAAAAATTTTATCTTCAAAATGATGGAGTCAAAGGCAAGTCACATGTCAAATCAAGATTAATTTTAACATGTATCTATGATGATCTATTGGATAAATTTTAAAATATGCACACTGTCACTTGTAGTTTAAAAGGATTTTCCTAAAGAAATTAAAAGGATAAAATAGCTTCTTTTAGCTCTTATTATAGCATCATTATTCTAAATATATTCTTTTAGATGTACATGAAGAGCTAACCAAATTTTCCATTAAAATTGTTTATGTGTTAAACTGTCTAAAGGGTAAGCAGAGTGATAGCGTACTAGAAAAGTTATTTTATTATTAAAAAATATATTCTAAAACAAAAATACAGTAAGAATGAATTCTGTAGGCCATAGCAAATGAATATAGTTATATATAACCTTAAAGTTATCATCATAGCTACAACAATAAATTCTTTTGTGAATAATAAAAAAAGTGTTCAATGTCTTTCTTTGGGGCTAACAGCTTTTATCTAGAGGCTTTATCAAACTATCAGACTCTTCTCTGCATTCAAAAATGGGAATTCTGAGAAGCCAATAATAAATATGTACTTACCATGTGCTCTATAAAGTCACAACCTAAAATGACATTTATAATTATTTTCTTTCTAAAATCTACCTAGGTATCAGCCTGAAAGAGAAAACTACCAACATTAGGAAGGTAAGATTTAGATCACTGGTGGAAAAGTCTTACTTGATTGAAACCACAGAACTGTATAACTTGGATTCTTTCATTAGGAAAGTCAATAAAACAAGCCTCGTCTTTAAATGTTTATATTACAGATTTCTTCCTGTCTCTCTTTTTCAGGGGCACATTTAACCAAACTGTCTTGCAATGTGGTTAGTCTGTGAGCCTTAAAAATAGCAGAATGGCTGGGAAATGTGGATGACACCAATATCATCTGCATGAAAAGCAGGAAACTAAAACCCTTCACAATCATCCTTTTATTTTAAATGTACCAAAACGAATAATATCTTAAGGTTTCATACTATCACATTGAAAACCAACTTAAATTCTTGGAAAATTTATTATTTACTTGCTGCCATTTTCTTTTAATGTGCTCTCAATGAATATAATAAAAGCAAACAGCTCATCTATTTGAATTTCCAAAAGACAGAACAAAAACTAGGAGAGGACATTGTCACTGATTCCAGATTCAGTGGGCAGATCTTCACCCATCAGAAACTACTCACAAAACAGGTTAATAATTTTAGGAATGCAAAACATAAAAAGCTAGCACTAAGAGGATCTTAGATAGTATCTATCTGCTCAATGCTTTTTTATTGCAAGAAGGAGAATAAGGCTTAAAAGAAGTGAATAATTTCCTGAAATTTAGAAGCTTGTTACACTGAGCTGTGTCTCCCAATTCAGTGTTTAACACACTTTACTCTCAGCAGTTCAAGCATGCAATCAGTTGGGAGACTACAGAGTAGAAACATCAAGACTTAAGGTTATTTCATGTATATCTATGTGCACTCTGTGATTCTATTTGTATATCACATAGTTATAACATAGTGTATACCAAGCCAGTGTGCAAGCCCTCTGTGTAAGAGACTCAAAGAAGTCCTGGGGCTCAGCCCTATCAAAAGTCATCAGTTCCATTTGCGGTCCTGACCCTACCCAGCCAGGATACTGCTAATTTGCCAAACTAATTAAATAAATTAGTAAATATAAGCGTGTCTGAGTCTGTAAAGACTAACCCTCAAAATATTCATGTATATTTTTCATTCAGTCTTTACTGAGCATGTAGTGTGTGCTTAAGCATCTAAATGTGATTATAGACATAGACCCTAGAGTCTTCATTTCACAGAAATTGCCATGAAGATTTGATCAACATGGAGTGACCAAAAATATGATGGTTGCATTTTTAAAATTTATTATAATAAAAAAAGCATTGCCATTAATCTTCCTCAAATCACCTCCTTCAAACACATTTATCCCACCATTCTTGGGATTTTTGCTATACTGTTTTCTTTTTATATTTAAATATCTATCATATCTTTTGATTGCCCTTTGTGTGTGTGTGTGTGTGTGTGTGTGTGTGTGTGTGTGTGTGTACAGATGCTAGGTTATCTGACGGTGAAAGATACAGATCAAGCATCTGAAATTAAAGCTGATAGCCAGGTGTCTGTGTGACTAAGCCGGGGGAAGTTTCCACTTTTTGAATTTCAGAAATACCATATTTTTTACTCAGTTGAGAAAAGAATAAAAGAAGAATTTGTAAATGTATAGCTGTCACATGAATAAACCTAATAAATTTTAGTGGCTTTATTTTCCTGGTGTATTTTTCTAATAAGAATTTACAATATGGGAAATGCAATTATACAGATTGCATTTGTCTCTTTTCATCAAAATTTTATGGTACTGCTCACATAAAAGAAACGTAAGACAAAAAATGGCTTCTAAACCTCTTTATATGTCACATTCTGAATTAAGACCTTGTGTTTCTAATTGTTCTGCTGCCTGGAACCAGAATAATTTTTGACTGTTTAGCTTCTCTGCAGTTTTCAGTGTGTTTCCTTCATCTCAGACACACATGTGCCCAAACACAGTAAATCACAGTTAATTGCATGTCTTAAATTAAAAGACAAAAATAATGCACAATTAATTGGGGAAATTGTCAGTTGGTGAATGAGTCCTGCTCATTACACCCTGTGCACAGGACGCATGCCAAGCGTGCATTCCAAGCAAGGAACTCCGCCTTGATGACAGTGGGAGATGCGCAGCACAGCCTCTGCAGAGCCGGCTGGGCAGAGGAATCCAGCACCTCGATGCATTCGCCCTCGCAACATCTGCAGCATGCTAGGTTTCCTTACAAAGTCGTACAATTCAGCACCATCCCTGTCTGCCAACAGCTAGAAACAAACCCTAAGGAAGACTAAATAGAGCCCAGATTCTGTGCATAACAGAAAAATCTGTTACTAAATGACTTTGTCATATTATCATGAGAAAATGCCCGTGATATATATTTTATGTGTCACAAATGCTTATAAAATAGTATGCTAATTTTTTTTGAGTATATGCAATACGTATATGAAGCACAAAGGGAGAGAGAGGAGGAGGAAAAGAATCTGATTTGGTGAAAAAGGCAACAAAAATGTTATATTTGTTATTTTGAGTAGTTCAGGCTTTCAAATCTTCCCAAAACAATCATTTGAGTTTTTAAAATTTACATTTCAATTTGTTTCTGAACCTCATATTATAAAATGTCAGTTTTAAGCACTCATGAGACTCTTTTCAGACAAACTTACCTGACCACCATAAAACAACTTAAAATTAAAAAAATAATCCCAGTAAGTACTTTGTACCTTGGTTATATACACAAACCAATTCTATAAAAATATATCTTATAAAAATACAAGAAACATGTTCAACACAATTAAATGTTCAGCACAGTAAGTTAGGACCTTAACTATTCTATATTAGCATAAGAAAATCACGAGATAATCCTTTTTAGTTTACTCACACCAACAAACTACAAAACATATTCAGAATAAAACCAATAATCTTGAATTTAACCCACCTACACTCTCAGTACTTTACCCTATAACAGAAAGACATTACATCTAGCCACCTGGTATAATCTTGATCCAAATATGGACATAAACACACACACAGACACAGACACACACACACACACACACACACACACACACGAGTTTCATTATTTTCATCAAAGTGGATGCAGAAAAAGTTTACAGACTTTTGCAATATATTACTATTCATGTTAATTCTACTTTATTTTAGTTTTGGAAGAAAAGAATACCCAAAGCCCAGAGAGGACATTCTTTCTAACAGCACTGAACAGCCTACTGACCCTGAGATAGGACGTCCTCTTTCTAGTTCTCTTTTATGTACTATAAGTTGGAGCAGGAAAAGAGAATCATATTTCAGAAAAAGCCCTTATCTCAACCATCGGCATCTTCATGTCCCAAGGGTGATATTTTCATGTCATTTTTAATGGACTCAATTTCTAATCAGCATATGCATTAAAAAATAATTGCAGAGATACAACATCAACACATCATGCTACCATGAGGCATCATCCCCACTACTGGGAACCTTCAGAATAGGACCGCAGATGGCGCAGAACATTGGGTGATACAGAAAAGTCAGCCTGGGACTGAACCAGCTTCAGCAAAGTGGGTATATCAGTTCTGCGTCGTCCTCCCCATGTTCAAGGAGGAGGCTTTGAAGCTAGGAAAGGGCAATCTTAGAGCTTCAAAGAAAAATATGATTCATCACTGGCCCACTCCAGGACTCCAATTACTAAAACAAGAATACTTCAAAATGTATGAGAAATGCTGAGAACAACAGTCACGTCTAAAAAAGTGTTAGATTTCTAGGGGATAAAATTCCTAGGGTAAATAAACTATTGATCGCACACATCTCATGATGCCCTGAAATGGGCCAGATAATTTGAGGTTTCTTCAAATTTGGCAAAAATATTGATAATCTGCTAAAGCTCGATTATGGGTCATACTGCACTTCTGCTTTGAGTATTCTTGACATTTTCATAAGAATATATTTTACACTCAAAATTTTACTGACTTTTCCTTTGAAAATACATACTGATAAATGATTTTTTATAGTTATTTAAGTAAGACTGATGAACAATCTAAATTCTATAAAAACCCACCAATGTTTTATGGCAGATTTTACCCACAACTTATCCACCTATGTTTTATGTTATCACAATTTTTTTTAAAAGTCCTCTTTCCAGAAAAAATTCACTATGATCTATGATGACAGAAGTACACCTAAACAAATGCAGTGTCACCATCTGCCTGGTGCGCTCACAGTGTGACAAAATAGACTGGTAATTAACTGCTTTCCTACCGAAATCTGCCAGCTTTAACTCCCCCGTGTCACTGATCAGAAGATTCTGGGGTTTCAGGTCTCTGTGCAAAATATAACGCTGGTGGATGTAAGACAGCCCTCGCAGCAACTGAAATAAAAACAACTGAAAAGACAGGGAAACAAAAGTTAAAATCTGAATTCAAATAAATGCCAGTTTCTACATATACCCCTCTAAGTATTTATATTCAATGGAAACGGGTACCCAGAGCTAAATTTTCTATAGATCATTAAATAGAATGTGTCATATTAGCATGTAAGTCCCTAATTTATTGAGAAACAAATCTGGTAATTTCTAGCAACATGGAGAATACCTCCTTAGTGAGAGAGACCTACTCCTAATTAGGGTTCTATAAATTGAAGGAAAATATTTTTTAAAAACCAAGTCTTCATGATACTCTATTTCTTCAGGCTTAAAATCATGAGAGAAACAAATCTATACATCTATAGATCTATACAGATCTATAACATTATAAAGGATAAAAGAGAACTATTTACCGTTTATATAAATGTACACATATCCAATTCTGCAGAAAAAACATAAACACAGTATCTATGGATTTACTCATTAACATTCTTTCAAGAAATGGAAAGTAAGATGATCTGAAATAATTAACACAAAACAGTCACATGGTCCAATTAATACCACACTGTAATTACACTGCTTATGCACACACAGCCATAGAGATTACATTGTTGCCTAAAGACAAACCTGCACCTTGACTAATTACAGAGCAGACTTATTCCAAAGAGAGAGGAAATTCAAAACAGAGATGTCAAGGATTCGAAAGCAAAAGTTTCACAAGAAATAATCTAACAAGTGACTAATGGCCTTTACTGTGAAGTTTCACATGGGATCTTTTCAAATGTTTATAATTTGATAACAAAAAAGTGTGATTATTAGGTTTTCCAATACTCTTCTTATAAAAGAGATGTCTTTGAAACAATTTTTACTTGCCAAAATTATTCTGACATAGTATTTAAATATCAATCTCCTAAAACAAAAATAAAAATAAATGTTACTTTTAAGTGCTACCAATATTCTCTTCTATACAACCAGCGAGTCATAAAAGGCAGTTTTGTGGTGATTTTAAATGAGTTAAAATACTGTTAGCAGCCAGGCATGTACACCAGTAAACCCAGCACTGGGGAGCCTGAGGCTGGAAGATCTCTGTAAATTTAGTCAGCTTGGGTTACATAGTGAATTCAAAATGAGTCTGTGTCTCAAAAACAAAACAAAACAAAAAAACTGAAACTCACCCAATCAACAAAAAAAATAAGAACAAAACAAACAAAAACATGTGACAATATATCAGTTCTGGAACACTGAAATGAAAAATATTAGAAATTCCTTGAGGGAGTCGGAAGCTAAGATTTCTGGAATGTTCCATCTAACTAGAGGCTATGAAAGTCAACTACATCATCATCATCATCATCATCATCATCATCATCATCATCATGTATTGCAGGGAGGGTACCCTGAGGTAACATAAAATGAATTAATCTCAAGCTCTGGGTAAATGGTAACATGCTTGGGGCACAAAAGGCTTGGTATTATTATTTCAAGAACAAGGATCAGGAATTAGGAGTCTATTTTGTGTTAGTCTACATTAAAATTCTGTCGCATAAGGATCCCAGGAAACAAATCCCTAGACTTCTCCTCTCCACCTTCTCTACACAGGAAGAAGAAAGACAACACCAGCAGCAGCAGCTCCCAGCCCCGTTACTAACTTCTAAGGCTCACTGCACCCTGAAGGTTAGTTTATAGTTTCTAAAAACACAAAACAAAACAAACTAGCAAAAATAAAAACCACACTCCTTTAGGAAGGAAGAAAAAATAAGCAAATAAAACCATTTTTTATTTCAAGGGCTTTAACACACATGCATATGCACACGCCCAGGCCCAGGCCCAGATAGACCACCTAAAAATAAATTTCAAAACATACACAGTCTGAAAAGAAATAGCCTGGCATTCTACAAGATGTTAACTGATCGCTGGGAACCATCAGAGACTCGGTTGTCTATTTAACCACAGCAATGGATTTTAAGAAGCCCCTAACACTCAGTGCATGCCAGTTACTGACCTATGTGTTCCAGAGTACCATTCCATCCGATTCTGCAACCATTTTAATGAGGTAGATGCTATTACTGCCTCTACACTCACCAGGAGGAAGCTGACTCATTTCTCAAGATCACACAGCAGTGCAGTAGCAGAGCCAGGGCTCAAACCCAGCGTGACTACAAAGACTATGCTCTTCACCACCTGCGCTGTGGAAACTGTGGCAAGAAATCAATGCACTGTGCCAACACAGAAGCTGCCTCTTCTAACTGACAGGTTAAAATGTGGCCCCAAGGCCACTGAGGCCAGCTCTGTTCCCCACTGTGCACTCAGTCATTATCACCCTGCGTTCCGGGGTTCCCAGCAGCCTCACCCTCTTCTATGCACACGGCATGATGCTGTCCAGCTACTCACTTTGTCCTCACCTCTGCTCCACCAGAAAAGCTTTTTTCCTTCTTTGCTGGCTGAACTGCACTGGCCACTTATGTGGCTCCTCAGGACCTGAACCTCCCTGCGGCCTTTCTGACCCCTCCCCCGACCCACCTCACTCCCTACAGGTCTCTGGGAGGTACCTCCCAGGCTCCAGTGCACCCTGCATATTTCTATCATAGCGTGTTATTTACCCCACCTCCCAGGAACTGTGGGCTGTAATCATGCACATCACTTGGGTGTGTACCTGGAACTCCTGTATCGACATTAGTGAGGGTTACTGAACTGAAGTGAGAGACATCTGAATAGTGACTGATTTCAAAAATTAAATAAATTTGGAACCCTAGGATAAGATTCTTCAGAAGCTAAGGGCAGAAGTGGGTATGTCAAATTAGCAAAGGGCTCTTGTTTTAATACCTCCACTAATAAATGAAAATATATAAACCTCATGCTAATCCAGAAGCTATTCAAATAGGATATCATGCTAAAGGAGATTAGGAAAACTAGTATTAGAAAAAAAATCTGTCCACACACTTCAGTTATAAGTGCATACAAACAGCAAACATGGCAAAGCCCAAAACAAATGTTGAGCTTTTGAGGAATGCAGGCAGTTAAGTAAATGTCCATAGAGCAATTCTCTATAGATTTACACAGTGCCAGCCACATGTGTCAGGTACTGTCATAGGAGAGGGATGAAAGGCTGCTAGAAAAGATATTAGATATGGTCTCTGGATGCAAGGATCTCACAGTGTGCTAGAGACACAGACAGATGAGTGCCACTTCCATAAAGGCAATGAAGGTACTAAAGGCACCAAGGAGGGAGGATTTGACAATGACGTATTGCAATTGATTCTGCCATCAGGGAAAGGAGTCTGTGAGAAGAGAAGAACCAGGAAACTTGCCGCTTTGAAAACAGAATCCATTACATGTAAAAATCTTAGGGAAACTGAATTGAGCATTCACTAAACACAGAAGGTGAGAGGATGACCTGATAAACCTCTTGCTGAGGAGATCAAACAAAAGGGTGTAATATAAATTCACAAGAAAAAGTTAAATAAGAAGACAATACATAAATTTATAAAACCTGTTCATCATCATAAAAATAATGGCAGAAAGGGGACAATGACAGACTTCATTCAAGTTATTAGAGAATTAGCTGTTGTACAGACCCTATTTCGGTGTGGTTAGCAGCGTACCAGTGGGCTGACTAAGCACCTTTGCCCCATGCACTGCTCTCGGGGAAGGTCCAGAGAACTCAATACTTGGAATGTCTTCCTCTAGAAAAGCAAGCCAATATCTGACTTTCCCACTTAAATTTTTGGGAAAGCCACGCCATGACACAGCAAGCTGTATTTGATCTTTTGTGAAAAACCAAAGGACACTGAAAACAAGAAGGCCCAGCAAAGACAGGGCTACAGAAAAACAGTAACACTCAGCTGGAGTTTCAGATACGGAAAAGAAAGTAAGAGACACTAATACTAACTAAAAGCTTAGTCTAATTTAGAGGCTATTCCTGGTACTTTTACTTATATTATACAACCCTTTTCATCTCTGCAATTTCTTTTGCTTCTTAAACAAATGAGAAAACTAAGAGAAGAACAAAAACTTCCTCAAAATCAACAATCACATAGTTCCTAAGAATTTTTCATCACGTCTCATCATTTTAAATGAGGCTGGTGCTTCCTTAAATGAATGGATGAGTATGTTCATACATCCAAATAATCAAGGCATTTTTATTATTAAGTGATTTCAAGTTTGTAAGCCTCAATCGGTATATGATATAATGAACACTTGATTCTGAATTTGTTTTTGCCATTTAAAATCTTCTTGGGAAGAAGTAACATGGTAGAAGGCAGGCTCAAGGACTGAAGTAGATACCTTATATTTGAAACTGTCTTCCCATCTTTCTAATGTAGTAGCCATAAGGACTTTCTCAGAACACTGTTACCTCTGAATATTTCACTCTCTCTAAAAGAAGATTACTTTAAATCCATCAGTATGATCACTGAAGATTTATATTCTGGTTTGAGTACATTCAATTTCTGCAATGAAAATGCCAATGAGAAAATGGCTTCAGAAGCAACAATGTGATGATGAGTGACACCTGTCAGCAGGAGCACAGGCACCTGCCTGCCAAGCACGAAGTCATGAGTTCAATCCCCAGTACCAAAATAAATAAATAAATAAAATAAAAATTAATCCATCTTCACCTACTCTGACACTACAATCAAGAATACAGCTCCTCTAAAAGTATGCACACTGTCTCAATGATGCAGTTACACACTGAGTACAAGGTTACAAAACATGACATTTCAAATAACATGTTCTAGATTTAATACCATATTATGTAAAAACTAAAGGTTCATAAACATTAAATTATCCAGACATCCATTTTTCTAATATAATTACAAAATTTAAGTCCCTAAAACATGTAACAAACATCCAAATATTTTATAATATTCATGATAAGTTTTATTACAGTACTAGGTTTTCAATTTTTAAAATCTACAAGAGAATTCATCAGGAGTCATGCCATTTAACAGTTCCAAAACACAGTACCCAATGCAAACTGAAGTCCTACTTTGTAAAACTGCATCTGATACACACCCACTTTCTAT